CCGTCAGTTGCATATTCGAAACATGCAGCCTGTCCCGTGACGGGCACCGAGCACCGGAGTCTTCTCATACCGCAACTATGTCTGCCCTACCCAAGGCCAGCCATCCTTGCAAACGTCACGCCCGGCTCGCTTCACGTCGTGAGCGCTCGTTTCATTGGACCCTGCAGCAGCTCATTCTCCCACGTCGTGCTCAATGAGGGATCCCGCCCTACACCAGTCCCAATTTCATCCCACTTGCTGTGTCACTCCAGACACCTCATCACCGCCCCAGCGAAACACGTACCAAAGACGTCGTCCCGCGGATTACGACGTCTTCGAAATATCACCGACGGTACGCGCCTGCACTCGTCATGCTTATGCTGACTGGCCTCCTCGGCGAGGGCGGAATCCGTTGGGGCGCGGCTCTCCCGCTGTCGCTTGTATACAGCACCACCGCCAAGCGCTATTGGCGGAAGGCACAACCGGTGCAACTTCCGACTTGCGAGCCAGACACACGGCTGGGTGGCGACGTCACTCACTCTGCCCATCCATCGCCATACGGCCCCAGCCCTGAGATGCACCTCGTCTCAGCTCTCGTTGCCAGCCACCAATCCAGCGTTCTTCCGCCACGCACGGTACCGTCAGCTGAATCGTCGCTCCCGACCCGAGACGAGCGCATCTTGGTACAACTCTTGCAGTAAGTGTGGCGAGCGACGCATCGTCAGATTCACGATGCCCCAAGATCGCATCAGGACTCCAGTCCCAATCCTGGCTAGCAGCCTTCACCGCCAACTGCCGCCGTGACGTACCCGGTATAACAACGTCTGCTATCCGGTAGCGCACGACAGTGCATCATCTCCTAGGCTGCTTGCAGATGTATTGCATCTTCCGATCTTATCAATGTTCAAACTGCACCATGGCTCTTTTCCGCCGGTTCACAGTACCATGGGAAGACACTCTGGGGTAACGGCTACAACGGCTACAACTCCAGACAAGATCACTGTCATGCCAATTGCGGGGTAAAAAGTAACTCTGGTATCGAAGTACGTCGACGTAGACTGACCCGAACATCAAGCGAACGTTCTGTACCAACATCTGTGACGACTCCAGCACGCAGGCATGAAGCCAGCGCATGGCACACGCAAACGCCCCAAACGCTCCCGGAATCGGATCCATCAGTGTCCAACGTTGCGACACTACGTGGTTAGAAACGGCCCTTCATCATGTTCACAATATGCGCGTCATTGCTTTTGGCGTCAGGCACGCCTACCCCAGGGGACGAATCGCAGACCATAGCAACCCGTGCTACTATCGTCTAACGTCAGTAGTCTAATTCACCTCGCTTAAAGGCTCAGCTCTCGCTGTCACGTTGTCGACAATGCAACACCAAGCAACACGGATAATGACTTATCCCACTCGGTAGTCGCAATTTTCATGAAATTGTCCGAAACATGATCGCTTGTGGCGCCTCACACGATGTCTCGAACCCACACTGCACTGTCTAATACGTTGTATCCGCCATCTCCACACCTCCACCTGCAGCGCCATGCATGATTTCAAGCTTCAACGCTAGAACCTCTAGCGCGGGCTCGGTCCTTTCTTGGGTCACGTTATCGGGCCGCTACCATACACGCAGAGCACATTCGGCAACTGCCAGAGATCAAATGTTGACGTGAACAGATGTGCAGCATGGATTGACATCGGAATACCGATTCTAGATTCTCCGACTATGCAATCGAAGGATTCCGGCCCTGGACAGCTGAGACGTTGTGATGTTGTCTTCGGTCAAATACATCATCTTCGGCCCTACATCCATGGGCAACACGAGCGCACGATCAGCCTTGTGACGTCAACCTCGACAGGATGAATCGTTCCTCTAGGCAGCTGAACCTAACGCTGGCGAACTGCTCCGCGAACGATGTTGTTAGAGGCGATGGGATCGAGCATGGCCGACCTTATCTACCTGATCGGCAATATGCTAGTAATAGCTTCCTCCCGCACTTCGGGATAACTACATCCAGTGTTGTGATATGCGAGCCCGCGCGTCACTGTCGCGCATGTGTGCGGCGTGGCATATGTCATCCCGCCAAACCCTGGCTTTTGTGACGAAAGATGCAGCACTCATCAGTCGATGCTCCTCGGAACCGCAATCACATTCCAGAGGGACTGACCTTCCGAAAAGGTATACTATGGGAATTTGTACTCGACGATCGTTCAGGCGTAATGTGGCAGGTCCGGCTTGCTTTACCCGGTGGGATGCACGTTGGAAGTGAATCATTTGTATTGGACGATCGTCGATATCGTCAGGCTTCGTGAGTAATGCTGTGTACATGACTTCTTTCGCTCACCCTGATGGTCACGGACGGTTTTTGACATCAGAAGACACGTGTGCTCATTACAAGACCCGATTACCTCTTACCCTTCGATCCGTCAACAACGAGAAATGGAGATGCTTATCTGTGGAACAACCATACACGCAAGAGACCCATCACGACCGAAGTACTGCCTGGCAACGACGTCGTAACAGCGATGAGAGTGTGTCATATGGACATGTCTTCGTTTCAATATAGGGGTATCTTCTCAGCATCGATGCATTACATTCCGCCCATCGGAGCTTCGAAACGGCCGACATCTTTCAGCCTCATTCTCATCATGGACATATATCGAAACCATTGCTAAAACTCATCTCTTCAGCATCTCATCACTACACAGTCTCGTTGAGTACTCGCTGCGGGTGCCAAATGCGGGTACGGCCTGCTGCAGCTATTTGTCGTGCTAGCACCATTGGTCCCAGCCTGAAGATTACGCCCGTGCAAAGATCGCAAAGTCTCCTATCGGGGGTTTCAAATCATATATGATCCATCATGATTTGTTTAGGTGCTAAGCCCTTCGCAGTTCAAGGCTTCTTCTGCAAGGAGTAGCTGACCACATTCCATATGGGTACCAAGCGAAAACGAGGCCTAGTAAGACAGGGCCATATGTCCAAGTGAAGCAAAACACTTTCGCCCATTGTGAGTCATTCTTCCTCATAGTACAGATAACAGTTATGACACAACCAGACATTACCCAGAGTAAAAGAGCGAGGAAGATAGGATACTCCCAGACCACGTCCTCTACAATCTCTAAACCCCAGTCGTGAACCAATTTTTGGGTATCAGTCAGCCGACTCATAGAACTCTGGCCAAACCTTTTGGGAACTCGGTCGCGCACGCTTGTTTCTTGATACAGACCCGGATCGCAAGAGTATTTCCGATTTTTCCTGTTCATGCAATGAACCAAGTAAGTAAAGGACCAACAATATTTGAGGGAACCAGAACTCGGTGGTAAAAGCTCGTCGATTTGGACAGTGGGATAGTCTGGGTCATGTAGGGTGAATGTAACGCATCGTACAGCAGAGACTCTGTATAACCGGGATGCGATCCTTCCACGATGGCTGATAGCGACATCTGTATATCGACGGTCGAGTTCTTCGACCAAGTGTCCGTCTGATTTCACCTCTGACAAGCCGATTTCAACTAGCCGCGTTTTCTTTCCTCGTAGGGTTATACAAAGTTCAAGAGTAGGGTTATCAAGAAAGCGGGCGAGATTGGAGTCGATTTCATTGAAGCTGTCGAGTGCTCGCGATGCCGAAGGGCGAAAGACAGGCTCCTTTTTAAGCATATCCCGAACCAGTTCTCTAAACTGAGTGCAGAAGAAACCCAAGGCCGGACTATCGGAATCAGCAGATGCCGTATCTTGAACTTGAAGTATGTCATTGATGAGCGTGACATTGTTCGCGAATTGGCAGCTATCAAGACCCATCGCTGCGTTGTACACATCCAGGAGCTTTGGCCAGGGTCTAAGAATGCCTTCTACCAAGGCAAAACAACAACCCAGAGAGAAGACATCAGAGGCCAGGGTCGGGTTTCTGCTCTTGGCGTTCGGATCTTCATTCGTGATCTGCTCTGGTGCAAGGTACTGGTATGTTCCCTTGTTTGCTGTTGTAGCGCCGTGGATATGCTCCTTGCTGATTCCGAAATCGATAATGATAGCACGAACCTTTAGCTCCCCAGACCTCTCAAACTCGGAATGAAGGACGATGTTGTCGGGCTTGATATCCTTGTGCCGGATAGGGCCAAACCCGGGGTGCTCGCTATGAAGGTATGCGAGGCCACTCAAGCACTGTCGCACGATACTTGGCCAAGGGTCCAATGTCCCGGGTACGAACCAGGACAAGTCCGATCTACCGCCATTTGTAGAAATTCTCTCGATAAACTGTTGAAATGAGAACTGCGCCCATGGCTTCGTCACGAGATAGATGTTGTGCGCCCAATTCGGATGATTGATGATGTACGCTTCTTCGAGCTGGACAATGTTCCGATGCTGACATTGTCGCAGAAATCTGATTTCTTGAGCGATCTCTTTTTGGTGTTCGGGGGACTTGATTTCAATTCGCTTGCTCGCGTAAACTTGCTGCTCGCCGATGAGCGGTATCCCCGAAGAACGGGTAGCTCGAGAAACGGTTCCGTATCCCCCAGTGGAGGGGGGACCTTTTGATCTGTCTTCCTTGTATGGAACATCTCTCTCAGCCTTGTATGTAACGACTCCTGCTGAGCAGAGGTCTTCGGCCCAGGCTATCGCTCTGTAATATGGTCGGCGAAGATCCATCTAGTCATCGCTGGCGAGTATTGCGATGTTGGAGACGTGGTGGGCGGGGTTCACACGCCAAAAGCCCAAGGCAGCAGCTTAATTTGTGTGCAATCTCACTGGTGCGCTGCCCCTGCAACCAAAGTTAGTAATCGACATCATCGTGCTTTTGTGGCTGGTCGCGTTGGCTGCGATTGGCCGTTGCTGCGGTTAAACGCACCAACCCGATTCGCAAGGCTGGATGGATTGGCGTGCGACAACAGACACAAGGCTGTCTAAAAAGCAAGAGGAAACCGCAGCAATGCGAACATTACAAACGACGCAGATCAGCAATAAAAATAGTCAAAAGAGACGTCTAACACAGTCATGCCTTTCATACTGAAGGCTAGCTCAACTCAACGATCCGGATCAGCGTCCCCAATCTCCCCACGCGGCTTCCTCCTCCCTTTCCCCTTCTTCTTCGCGCCTTCAGCCTGCAACACCGTCTTCTCAGCAGCAGCACCAGCATTCGCCCTCTCAGCCATCTTCTCCAAAACAGCCCTCCTCGCTTCCACCTTCTCCTTCCTCTCCGCCCCCAACCAATCAAACACACCCTCCACATCCGTAAACTGCATGAATCCACCCCTTCTCCACGCATCCCCATGTATCTTCTTCCCCGTCTCATTATCCATATCAGCAGTCTCTTGCGAACTAAGCGCCCGTCCCCAGCGACAATACACCAAGCCTTGCGTAAGCACCCTTACGCGTACACCCATATCCCTCCACTCCCTCCTCTCGTAAACAGGATCGCTGGGCGTAGACGAACCAACCTCCCACCCACCTTTCCGATACGCAGTCACCCCGTTGAAACATAGGATCTGCGTCAACGCCGTATCGCCCCTCGCACGCTTCTTCTCAGTCTCACTCAACGCATCACGCCGCTTCTGTTCTTTCTCACCGACGTCTTCGTACTGATTCCGCATATTTCGTTGGCGCATGGATGGGTCGTTCCAACACTCCATAACCGAAGAATCGTAGTTATCTTCTTTGAAGAGCGGGACGTGGTGGTATGCTGTGTGTGGGTCGAGGTGCATGTGCAGGGAAAGGATGCCTGCGGAAACGGTAAGGCGGCGGAGGTCATCGAAGACGGTTTTGAGTGAAGGAGCGGGGATCGGGAGTGGGGTGGAGGCGGGGTATGTAGGTGGGTGGACTAGCGAGAGGAGGGGAGAGAGGTGTGTCCATAGTGCTCCGATGATGGTGTTGACGTGCGTGTTGAAGTTGTAAGGAAGGGATGTAGGTGTGGGGAGGTGTTGCCGAATCGTAGCTGCGTATCGCGCATTCCTCTCAAATCCTGTGTTCACGTCAGTTCAGATTCCTTTATCCCCTCCACTTCCTACAAAGTTCCATATCCTTGCAAACAAAGAGAATCAAACTTACCGTCCCAATCCTTCCCCTCCCTCTGTACCGCCGCCACAGCCCTAACACCCTCCTCCGTCCCACCGAAGAATGCATGCTGCAACACCTGCTCACTCAACAAATTCCCAATCATCGCACAAACCAACGCTTGCATCTTCTCTTTGTTAACAAAGAGATCGTGCCACCCCCATAGTCCGCTTGGTCCCCCACTCGCCACACAATTAATTAGTTTCGTTGTCTCTGGTGTTAGGGTTTTGAAGAATTCTTTCTTTATGAACACATCTCCATGCCCAATCGTAACGCCATGACCATCCCCGTTCTCGTGTGCGGCAGTGGCAGTGGTGGTATGGCAAGCGTGCGCACCGCTCTTAAACCATCTCTTAGCAAAATCCTCGACAGAACTCATGAGCGACCACAGCCCATCCCTTATCTCGGCGTCGCGGAAGGCGTACAGTGGTTCTGATGGTAGTTCGGCGTGGATGCGTCGCGGTGAAGCGTGGAGTTCGCGGGCGCGTAGGTTGGGGTTTGTATCCCACCGTTCCTCCGGCGTCTTTTCGTGCCATTCTGGAGGGTATGCGAAATTGGGGGGATGGGTGGGGGTGGTGAGGGGTGAGGGCATGGTGCGGTAGGATGGTGATGATGGTGATTGTGGGAGTGGTGTGATGCTTGGTTTGGTGGGTAGAGGTGAAGGTGAAGGTTTGGCAGGTGTAGGCCCTGTGGTAGTAGTATTTGATCTAACAGCCCCAGCCCGCGGTCTAGGTTGTTTGCCAACAGGTGTGTGTTTGAGTCTGTCTACTTTGATCTCGCCAGTACTAGTCACGTCTAGCCCGGCCGACGAAGTGGTAGGAGAGAATGATAGTCGTAGGTCGTCGTCGCTGCTAGACCAATCTATCTCATCGAGGATCTCGTCTTCTTCGTTCTCGGTCTCGCTGCCTGTGCATATTGATGGAGACTGCGACATCGCTACACGCGTGCTTGTACTCGCCAGCGTCTTCCCTGCTTTGTCGTGTGTCTCTGTCTTACTAGCCCTACTACCTGTCCCACGCGCTTCAACCGCGTTGTACAAATCGCGCGAAAGTTTGCGTACGGATTTGGGAGTCGCATACGGCCGAGCATCGTCATTTCCATCATCATCCTCTCCAATCTCAACACCAGCTTCAAATTCAGCTTCGTCTTGAAGTTGGCACGCTACCGCTACCTCCTCATCCAGCTCATCCCCATCCATCTCATATCCATCATCTCCACTCACCGCCACCGTCCCCGCACCAGCATAAACAGCATTCTGGTATTCCTCCGGATCATACGCTTCTCTCTTCCTCTTCTCACCCGAGCGCGTTATATCTGTATCTGGATCTGGTAAATTACGCTTCTTGGGAGGTGGGTGTTTACCGGGCGAACTGAAAAGGTTGTGGAGGAAAGACATCGCGCGCGATGGTGGTTGCGCGATGTTAGTTGCGTTGGCGGAGTGAGGATGTGCGCTGAATGTTAGATTTGGCTAATTAGCCTTGATCGTAATGAAGGGTCAGTCGCATGAATGCGATTTCTAGCGTCACCGGCTCTTGTATGCTCGTCTCGGTCGCTTTGTCTTTGTTGGTAAGCGACCGCATCCGGCAGTTTGTGGGAGCGTACAGCCGAATGGAGGGTTGTGTTTGTTTTGCGTGGGATGGACAAAGACACCAGGAGCTGTTACTGTGGTATCTTTGCGATGCAGCGGAACAATGGGTGTCTTTGACGTGGCGATTGCCTATTGTGTTGCGAAGTTAGAGTGAAGTCCGGTGAGGGTAGATGCATGCGTCGCATCAGTCTGGCGAATTCATCGAGCTACGAGGTTAGCAGAATGAGGTTAGCAGAGAAAACGCACCAAGGAACCATGAACCTCATCGGAGGAAGAACCACTATCATTACCTCAGTGTAGAGTAAAACCCGCTATGCTAGTTACGCCTGGCTCGATAAGTAAATGTAGAGCGATGATGCAAGGAAACGCTAGATGACAACAATAGACAAAGAAACTTGAATTGAGTTTATGACTTGGGTGGTGGTGTAAAGTTCTTGTAGAAACAAGAACATAACGTGCTCTCAATCTGAGGCTTAAGCCTGACGTCGTCGCCTGACGAGCTCGTGCAAGCTGGTACTCCTTGTCCACCTGCTACGCTTTGTTCAATCTTGACGGCTATTTCAAGTTAGTTGGTTTAGGTAAGATGGGAGCTGCCAGGCTTGCTTACCATATGGCCACGCCTTGTTAGCGACCTTTCCGACTGCGATTGTATCGTCGGGGTACGTTTGCTGCATCTTGGTGTACAAGATGCCCTGCATGTTTGTCGCACCGTAGTCGCACTCAAAGTCGCCTCTCTTTCCCCCAAGGCTTCCAGTCATATTCACAGTCTTGGACCGCGTGATTTGGAACCGGTATCGCTCCGTGTCCTTCCCGGCGTCCAGCAACTCGAGGTCTTCGTTCTGGAACGTCGTGTCGAATGTGTCGTCCTGCTTGCCCGAAGAAATCTTCCAAGATCCTGTAGATCCGCTGATGTCCCAGTTTAGGATGGTGAGAGCTTTCTGTTGGTCGTCGTAGTAGTTTGTGTTCGGTGGGCATGTCCAAGTGTCTGCGTCTGAGGTGCAGTCTGTTGTGACGGTGTCGAGGAAGAGCACGAATGACCAGCTTCCGACGGGGAAGTTCGAGGGGACAGCGGAGGGTGTGGAGGTGGTAACTGCAGATGGGGGATCGTCGTCGGTCGTGGAGGGAGAGTTGGAGTCGGGGTTGGAGGCGGGCTTGCTATCGGTGCCTGCTGGTGTCGTTGAGCCGCCTGTGTTCGCTGTGGATGTGCTGCTATAGATTGTCAGCTAGATCCTTTGGATGTCAGCATGCAATTGCTTTACCTCTTCGAGTCCTTCTTCAGTCCCAATGCGAGTCCAACGCCCAGTGCCACTATCAGCGCAATGATCAGGGCGGCGACCACGGCAAGCTTCTTCCATCCCCAGGCAGCACATCCTCTCTGTCTCCGTTGCCGTACGTGTCCAAACTTCTCCTCATCCCGATCACTCCACACACTGACACTGAGATTGCTCCCATTGTGCATGTCCTCGCTGCTTTCCCTCGGCGTGAGTAAGCGGCCACCCGTCAAGACCGATTGGATGAAGCCGGGCTTCTTCTCGACCCTGTGGTGTTGTACTGGTCCGACATGCTGATGCGACGGGTCGTTGCAGAATGTGCTTTCGGTGGTGACGCTGATTTCGGCAGCCTTGGACGAAGCCGACTTGCCTCGTTTGGCGTCGAGGATTACGGAGAGACGCTGGCCAGCCGGCGTCGAGATGCGCTTTGCCGGCCGGTCGTCACCGATCTCATAGTGTGCCTTTGCGCGCTTGGAGCGATAGAAGTTCATTGGATCGGAGGCTGTGGGCTATATTGCTTGTGACTCGCGGTGTATGGTGTTCTGTGTGTCAAAAGAAAGCGTCCAAGTTCTCCTGACTGCAATGGCTATCGCTCTGCGGGTGGCTTGCCGCTATATCGCGCTATAGCCTGGGAGCGTAGGGATGCCGATGACGAAGACGATGGGGGTAGGGAGGTGAGAGGAAGATAACAGGAGCCTCCCTCCACGGCTGTCAGGCGCGACGCACCCGCCTGAGCCATGACAGCTCTCGAAAGCTTGTACGAGACGGAATCTTGTTGACATGATCCTCCTCAGGCCTCGAGCGTATGGGGCCTGCGCGATATCACGCGCTAGCGACCGTTACAGTATCGAAGTAAACTGCAACGGGCTAGGGGGTCACCCCATTCTCCTGACCATCACTCATGGAGCTGGTTCTCGGTGGAGCCGCACGGTGCTGCGTCGGGAACGGGTGCGCCATGCATGGGCAGATCATGAGAGCTTCGCGGGAGCTTTTATGCAGACAGGATGATGGCGTGCTTGACATCTGGGGTTGAAGAGAGACAGATTCTGTGGGCTTGAGGCAGCCTCAACGCTCTGCCAGTGATGTCGCACGAGTGAAGTTTGTTGGTAGTGTCGTTGGTAGTGTCGTTTCGCGGGCGGTGTTTGTTTTGCTGAGTGATTAGGGGTCGTGTCGCTAAATTCGGAGCCTGTTCCTGCATTCGGCCCAGGGATCCGGGTCCGAGGGATTTTGCCGCCAAGCCTCGAGCTACCTCACTCGACTTTCTTTCACGTGCCGACGTGTAAACGCACTCACAAGTGGCGACACTCACCGCGCGTGGAATGCCTTTGAGGACGGTATCCCAAGAGTGTGACGTCTGATGAGGAGCGCGCTAGCTGTCAAACGCGCTTTCCTCACGCGCTCTCGCTCTCACCGCGCGCTTCACCGACGCGTCACAAACGCGACTGCCTCCATCATGCTCTCGCCTACCGTGACGTTTGCACAGCTGCGCGCACTTCACTCGAAAAATCCTTTTCTACCTCCCTGCGGTCCTTGACTCCGGCATCACCGTGCGGCCACTTCCTGGTTCATAACAGCCGCTTCAATCTACAGCAACTCAGCAACCATCATCAGCATGTCGGCCAATCGAGTCAAGGTCCGCCTTGTCCCCGGCTGTTCCGACGGCGATCCCCTTCATGTGCCTCCTCCGGGAGCTCATACCCAGCTTGATCCACCAACTCTGTACCTGGAGAAGATTGGCCAACAGTGGATGGAGAGTCGAGGTGAGGCTAAGCCAGGTGTGCACTACATCCTAGAAGACCTTCCCTTTGGCTACACGCTCTGGCATCGCCCACGACCGTCGAAACCAAGCCATCTCGACAAGTACCTATATGGCCATCCTGGAAAGAAGGCGTTTGACTCGCCGAACCGATTCTTTCCTCACTTTGAGCACCTGATGAAGAACCATGGCAGTAACATAGGCTGTCCTTGCACTGTTTGCAGTGGCACTGCCGGAATACTCCCAAAGACTTCAGCGAATAGCTCGCAGACACGAACGCCGAGCGTGGCCTCCTCGCGAAGGTCCAACTCTTCTGCGTCAGTGCAGAGTCGACCTACTAGCGCACATCGCACGCAACAGCTGCCGGCTGCACCGCTTCCTATTCAGGCGTCACAGCACAAGGGTCGCCCGAAGAAGATCACTCCGGGTCTAGACACGACCAACGTTGATAATGAAGGCACGCCAGATGTGTACAGGAATCTCATCGATAAGCTTCGCCGGCATCGCGATGTGGACGAACCTATCCTTGAGCCACTGAGCCCAGACTGGCGCGCGGAACGAGACCATCTTCCAAAGTTCCTCAACGACATCAAAACCCAGGAGCAATGGGTTCCGCGAATTGGAGACATTGTCTTGTACATACGCAACATGCCTGATACCGTTGAATTGGTCCGAGACGACACCACCGGCGAGCTCCAGCTGTACGATGAGCGTCGCAAGCAGCATCTGGGTACTCCACAATGGGCGGCAGGCCTGGTCACTGAGCCGGCTACCGGTACAACGGTCGCTGAGCTCGTCACCTCTACTCATCCGGAGCGCAGTGTATCCGGCATAGGTGTACGCGTCGAACCGATCCCGAATCCAAATGACTCGGACAAGTCGCTCTCCAAGAGACACAAGTACGTCTTGTTGCGACAGACAAGCCCATTCATGATGTGGAGAGACCTCTTGCGCCGGATACCTCAGGAAGAATGGCATGATACCGTCAAGAACGCCCTCGCCCTCATGTCGACGCTCTCGCTCATGGGTAAATATCGCTTCCGAGGATCGTGGCCGAACGCGAGCATATATTGTCATGGCATCTACGTTGGCGCCGAGATGCTCGCCGTAGGCGACACCGTCCGCCTCCTTCCCAACAAGCAATCTGGTCAGTCCGGCTGCACGGATGTCATGAGCATCAAATCGATTCGCTTGAAGTGGACCAATCTGGATAAGGCCTCTGACAATGACTACGACGAGGGACGGCCATACAACTCTGAGATCTGGATATACGGGTCCGCATATACAAGCGACGTGTCACGTTCGAACAAGCTTTGGGTGACGGAGCACAATGTCGAAGCTCCACGAGTGGCAAATGACTATGCAGACTGGTACCCACTACACCCAGCTGACAAAGAGCTTGCCATCCCCTACTCGCGCGTCCTCGGTCGCCTGCACGAGCGCGATGCCATGGCCTACTTCCTCAAGTCTGACGATGACAATCCTCCAGGACTCGATGTCGGCCGGCAATCTGTAGTAGAGGCGCGCGCCTTTGCACGAAAGCACGATAACCGCATCGCTCAAGAATCCGATGCTACATGGTACTGGGGGGACGACCGAGCCGATGCTCTCAATCTCCACACTATCAACGGTCTCGACGTGTCGCGCTACGACCTCGACCGCGACGTCAAGGATCTTCGTCGCAAGTACCGGCAACTCGATGGTATCGCCAGTGGAAACGCGAAGCCTACAGGCCAAGAAATACTCGGCAGCAGGGGATTGCGTACCTTCATGGCACCCGCCTTGCCACTTCGCACGAGCAGCGCGAAGCCACCAAGTGATAGCGGAAGTTCGTCTATCAGTGCCAGTCAAGCCTCCCGAAAGCGCACGCACATCGTCGACCTAGACGACGAGGATGATACCGAAGAGGACGACCTTGACGAAGAGATCAGGGAGCACACCAAGGTCGTCGCGGAAGATCGCGAACGTCCGAAGAAGAAGCCGAAGGTGATGGTGGTCATAGACTGAAGGCCAACCATCAGCACATCCAAGACCAAACGGTGAATATACGAGGATACGATTCGATGAGCATATGTGAGATGCTTCACTCTTGCAAGAAGACATTATACATTAGGAATATGGCGATGGACGAGGTGGAAGCCTGGATGATTCCCAAGGCGACTTTACTTTATGCGGGAGGATCACTGTTGATACCCACTACTACGATATGATCGAGTAACTGCATGTATATGTACTGTACCAGATTCTCATGATATTACGGCAGATGCCAACACTGGCTGCTTGGCAGCCACAATACCAACATACGATAAATGTCCTTGCGTATCTTTGACTTGGTGACGCACTCACGCAGCAACCACTTCCAATCCCTCCACCCTCTCGAACTCCTCCGTATCAACCTCATCAAGCTCAACATCACCTTCCATAGTCATGTTCTCCTCTTCATCTGCCCCAAAATTCGCTTCTTCGATATGCGTTGCAGCCACAAGCTGCCGACTTTACAGACTTGCCTGGATGCATCATCAATGTCCGAACCAAGAGTTCAAGAGCTCCGCTGAAAATGTAACCCTGTGCGATCTACTCGCGTCCTTGGATACATAGTAGTACCCAAGGGCTTTAGTGAACATAGAATGCGAGCGATGGACGTTGTCAATTTCGGGTTTGCGGTAGTCAAGTGAGCAACTATAGTTAAAGCTTTGAGGCTACGAGATTTTAGCCCGGTCCATTCAAAAGTATCTGCTATCATTTGTTGCGCTTCGGCGCGAATGACGACAGCGGACAGGTTTGAGGCGTGGTATCCAACAGGTAGTACAAGTGAAGTTGACCACCCTGCGGTCCCCGCCCTCATTTTCAAAAGAGTCATGAATGTGATTCACGGAAGTGACTCATGCGTGCTTTAAAACACGAGGATTGTGTGCTCTATTATCTTCATTACAGAACATGGACGACGTTAAGATCTACAGGCTCGCTCTTATATGCGACGGCGCCTTTATAAGCGCGGTGGAGACGCCACTCTCGAAGGAGCATGAGCCACTACCGGAGAAGCATAAGCCACTACACAACGCTCTAGACGACTGCTATCAGCTATTCGTAAGATGGGTTAAAGTCACAGGCGCTAGGGAAGATGACGAGCGGAATCTAGACCAGCGACTGAAGTTCAGCCCGGACTTGCAGAACGAGGTAGCCAGGTTGCTTGAGCTCATCTCAAGGCACCTAAGGGGAGGTAAGACATCGTTGCACATCCTTGCTCGACTTGAAACTGACATACACAGACTTTTACAAGGCCCAAAGAGACGTTTATGCAATGTGGGACGCGTGCGTAGAGAGAACAAAATCTGCCGCGGAAGGCGAATCCTCAGCTACGAATCTTAGCGTGTTGGCGCAGATCTTCCCACCCGTAACAGTCATCCATGGAGCTATCGATGAGTTATCGCGCATCATGTCGATTGAGTCAAGAGACAAAGGTTGCTTTGAAGTGGCTGCGGTCAGGTGGGTGAAGAAATTACACCCTGATATACCCGAGACTCTGGCCGAACAGCTGGGCATATCCATCGAATGCAGGCGTCTTCGCTTACTCCGTCAAACAAAGTACGAACGGGGGTTCCCCCCTGAAGGATATCAGTATCGTCGCCCACGGCTTGCGCAGCCAGAAGATCAGATGGTGGCTGCGTTGGACCGTGTGACTTTGACCGACTCTCCAGTGTTGGATCCAGTACTGCCACCAGATGATGCTTCGTATCAGCAGAATATCGGGTCCGAGGCCACTACATCATCGGCAGCTCAAGCATATCCGCACCCAAAGGCTCCCAATCCACCAGAGGGCTCCGAGTACTGTCAATGTAAATGGTGTTGCAACAAGCTCAGTGCCAAAAACCTGACGTACAAAGAATGGTGGGCGTACGTCTGCCCATGAAGCTGTCGATCGTCATCGGCAAGTAAGCTTACATAATACAGACCGCACTTCGACGAAGATCTCCAGCCTTACACGTGCATCGAAAAGAGGTGTAGGTGGCCGCCGATATACTTCACGAGCGTAGATCAATGGCAGAAGCATATGGTGGAGAAGCACACCACTAGCTGGACCGAACACATCCACAGGATAGTCCAACACTGTAGCCGGCACGTAGACAAGGAAGGCCATACAGACCGCAAGGAGTTCCAAACCACCAGAGCACTCCTCGACCATTTGGCTGACGAACATGCTCTAAATGCTGGGTGCATCCCTTATCGAATCAAATCGCCGGGAACATGTCTGTTCTGTAACTCCGATGCCGCTGCCAAAGCAGTTCCAAGGAATGAGTTTGGAGCAAGCAAGACTGCGAACGTCGGTGACGCTGCTATTGAAGCGCATGAGTCTGAAGAGCTTGTTCGAGTAAAGCTCTGGGAGCATATCGGCCATCATCTCAGCAACCTGGCTTTCTTATCGCTGAAATGGTTCGAAAATGACAAGGTGGATGTCGACGGAGGTGATGGAAAGGCGAATGCCGCGCAGAGGAAAGGATGTAATGATGATGACGATCGGGAAGCGGCATCAGTGTAGCGGGGTACCAAGTTTCGTCCTCAGTAGTATCTGGGTACACTTCTTAGACAGCTTTCAATCTACTATACTTGAGAATTGAGCAAGGATGAGCCGCTTGAACAGTCGGTGCGAGGGTCAAAGGAGAAGATGATTGTGACTGACAGACGCATTAGGCCGATGCGTACGCACGTAGGCTACAGTAGCGCGATTACTCAACTGTTCCGAGGTTCCGAGGGACGCGTCTTCCCCGCATCGAAGCTAATCATGCAACCAGCACCAGCCCTACAAGCTATGCACAACAAGCTTTCGGTAGTAGATAACTTACTGCCTATATCCACGACAATATGTGAGGGCAAGTGACTGAACAACGCACCCAACAGGCCGTCTCCTCCTCCAACACCACCACAATGTCCAAAAACACCACCAACAAACCCGTCATCGCCGTCGTAGGCGCAGGCCCAGGCATCGGCGAAGCAGTAGCCCACCGCTTCGCATCCGAAGGCTTCGTCGTCGCCCTCCTCGCGCGAACAGAAGAAGCGTTACAAACCATGGCCGCGAACATCAACAGCGACGTGGGGACCGGGACGGCGCACTACTACATCACAGACCTGCGCATCGAAGATACAGTAACATCATCGTTCAAGCGCATCCGCGAAGAGCTCGGCCCCGTCAACGTTCTTGTTTACAATGCCGGCGCGCGCCGCGTAAACGGGCGTTCGCTCATCGACACCACGTCGGAGGAATTCGAGAACTTCACCAAGATCAATCTTTTCGGCGCGTTTTGGGCTAGCAAGCTCGTTATCCCGGATATGCTTGCCGCAGGGAAGGGTACAATCCTTTTCACCAGCGCGACAGGCGCGTTGCGCGGTATGCCAGGCCTTGCGTCGTTCTCACCCGGGAAGTTTGGGCTGCGCTCGTTGTGCCAGGTCATTACGCGCGAGTACCAGGCGAAGGGTATTCACGCCGTTAATATCATTGTCGATGGGCCGGTTGATGGAAAGTTGATTGGGGGTGTGATGAAGAGGCAGTGGGAGCGGACTGGGCAGACGGACAAAGCGGCGGACGTGGACAGCCATCTTGTTCAACCGAGGGATTTGGCGCATACGTATTGGTTTTTGCATACGCAGCCGAGGAGTACGTGGACGCAGGAGTTGGATGTTAGGGCTATGAAGGAGACGTTGTTTACGAAGCTGTAGTTGGATGGAAAACTGTAGTAGCATTTATCGATGTGTTCTGTCACAAACATCTGAAAGGGTATAAGATTTCATTGTAATGCGACATCTTCACTGCTTATCTACTGCGAATAACGGGCTCGGTATAGCCCCTTTACTGTGTTACAATACTGCGTTGACTAGACCGCGTTGTGGGCTCTGCTTAGGCATCGACTCCAGTCTCTCCCCAAAAGAATGATGTGACATCTTCAAGGCCTACAAGTGAGCTTTCACAGTCTTCTCGGCTTCTTCCCCTTTAGCTTGCTCAGCAAGTACCCTCCGCAGTATCTTGCCCGCATTGCTCTTTGGTATCGCTTCCACAAAGCGGATACCGCCCCTCAGCTTCTTGTGCGGCGACACACGCTCGTTGAACCATGAGGATAGCTCTTCTTCCAGCTTCTCATCGCCCTTGTACCCCGGCGCCACGACTACATACGCTCTCGGTAACTCTGTCACCCTCGACTCACTGTACACGCCAATGACGGCTACATCAGCGACCGCCGGATGGCCAATCAAGAGAGCTTCGAGTTGCGCAGGCGCCACCTGGAAGCCATTATACTTGATGAGTTCCTTGACGCGGTCCGTCATGTACAGGTTCCCATGCTCATCGAACTTTGCGACATCGCCGGTGTGATACCACCCTTCCGCGTCGAAAGCAGCGGCTGTAGCTTGGGCATTGTTGTAGTACCCTTTGAAGATGTTTGGTCCTTTCAAACACAGCTCACCCTCTTCGCCTATCGCCATTTCCTTTCCGTCACTCACGACCTTGGCTGACATGCTGGGCAACAAGCATCCGGAAGTGCCCAACGCCGTGGTCCAGGTTTCGATGCGTTGCACGCTCACGGCGGGTGCAGCTTCAGACATGCCGTAGACTTGGAGTATTTGAGCGCCGAGGCGCATGTGTATCGCGGTAATGATCTCGACGGGTATTGGGGCGGCAGAGGAATGCAGGTCGCGCAGGGACGTGAGGTCGTACTGGTCGACGATGGGGGCCTTTGCCAGGGCGAGCGCGACGGGTGGGACAATGTAAGCGATGGTGACTTTCTCTCTGTCAACCGTCTCGCAGAATCTCTTGAGGTCAAATCCTGACATGATGTGATTGGTCACGCCGTAGAAGATGGTGTTTAGCAGTAGTGTAGCAATTCCTGCATTTATCAGCGCGTGTTTGATTCTGAACTCGTTGAGCTTACCGTAGATGTGATACATGGGTAGGAAGCCAATACCCGTGTCTGTCTTCCAGTTGGTGTTGTAGCCATTTGCCGTCGTAGCCTGAATGCTGTTTGCTACGACGTTCTGATGCGTCAGCATGACACCCTTTGGCTCGCCAGTGGTTCCAGAAGAGTACACCAGGTACGCCAGATCTTCTTTGGGGTCGATTTTGACTCGGTTCATGCTGACTGACGCGCTCTTCAGAGAAGAGAAGTGCTGAACGGATTTTGTAGGCTTGTTGCTCCCAACCAGAAGTATACGATCCAGAGGAAGGCCGATTTTCGATGCTGCCTCGCAAGCGACCTCAAGACATGCCGCATTTGTCAACAGTCCCTTGGCTTTCGAAGATGTCAACTGAGACACCAGCTCATCGACGGTGTACATGAAGTTTAGAGGACACACGACACCTCCAGCAAGTAAGACGCCGAATGTAGCAGGCGCGACATCGATATCATTCGGCGTCATGATTGCCAAAACATCGCCTTTGCGCCATTGCCATTGTTTCTGGAGGCCCTGCCCGAACCGTTCCGCGGTGGACCGTAAATCAGCATATGTGAGCTTTCGGCCGCTGGCAATGTCTACGAAGAGCACTGCACCTGTTAGCTATCGCTTGACAGACGTGTTTGAACACATACCATGATCATCCGGGTACTCGCGATCCGGTCGCTCGAGAAAATACGTCCATGCATCGACGGCGGGTATGGTAATGGGCGGGTATGACGACTCAATCGGCATTGTTAGCAGTATAAGTATAACAGGAATGACTGGTTATGGTGCAGCGTTCAGCTCGAAATAGATGTTATATTTCCCATCGACGTGATCGTCATTGAAGTAGCGCGTTCAAACATTAGGGTTTGGTACTTCAATGGCTACGTCCGTAACACTAACGCGTCAGCGGCGATCGCATGTGATTAGTCGTGGGTACCCAAGTCGGCACCGTGAGACCTCGGGAGAAACCATTGACATGGGCCCAGCGCTCAAGGCGGGCAAAATTCCCTCCGCCCGCACACAGGCATTTGGAGCCTGCCAGAGCATAATATCACGCGATAGCTGTAATCCTGAGCCCCTAGGTGCTGGCTCGGTTGAGCTCACACAAGCGGAATCGTGAGTTCGGGTGGGAGGCGATCATCTTTCCCTGCGTAGGAGAGTTCAGGCTGTAGCTTGAGCTGAGGACGCGCACATTAGTGTGTTATGGTTGATGAAGGTAACAACGAGTTCAGCGGGATCGGAAGCTGGGAAAGCGCGCCAACCGAAAGCAGACTAGGCTGCCATCACGTGCATTCGGCAAATCTTCCCGAGCTCGTGAAGTCTGGCTCGCGCTCACAACGCGAAAAGACATCACACTCTTCACATGCACGAAACAACATCACACATACGGCATCAGGGATCGTGAATGACTACCGTTTGTTTCTTCCCTCAACCATGAATCGCCGCCATGGCGTCTAGCAGGTCGACGCTCCTTGGACGGACTCCGACGCGTCAAGCTCCGCAATGGCTCAGCAGCCTGACCCCAAATCGCCAAAAACATCGCGCATAAATTTTCACTTTTATAAACCACCACATCTCGATCTTCCTCGCAGAACTGCAGTCGTCAAGCTCTCTGTTCATCGCTTTCTCAGTGTCCTTTCCTTACTCAAATGCCTTGACGCCTTCCGCCGCAACCTCTAGCATGCGCGGATCTTCTTCGCCGGTGCGCCCTTGTCGACTTCTGCGTCCATGGTGTCCTTGCGCCTGGCTGAAGCTTCGTCGTTATCATCTGTCACGAACAAGTCGCCCTCGTGGTCAGAGGCATCTGTTGCACCGTCAACGTCTTCCGTGGTCGACGCATCGCCATCTTCATCGTCCGATGTGTTCCTGGCAATCGCTTTCAGAGCTCGGACAAGTGGTGCAAGTCCTGCTTTACTCTTGACATTGTCGTTTTCGAACGTCCTGTACTCTGTCGTACGGTCGCAGTACAGAAGAATGAACCGCAAGAGTGCTTTGATCATGAGAGAAAAAGGAGTGATGATACCGCTCTCGCTGAGCTTTCCGAAAACGTTGTCGCCCTTGATAACTTTTGCATTCCTGACATATCGGTTGCGGGCAGAGTCATTGCTCGTGGTGTAGTAGAGTCCAACTTCCCTTCTTCGGATCTTGAATGCTCGTTCCGTTCTATAGTAGGCCTGTTGCGTCCAGGTGAACTCGGAATAGTCCGGAACATCCTTTCGCTTCCGCTCGTCTACCCACAGCATGTCGCCAACCTTTCTGGACTTCTTTGTTAGTGCGTAGCCGACCTTAACGGCGTATTTGCCGCGATGGTGCTCTCTGATCTCGAACGCATCGGGAGCTGGAAAGCTGGCTAGCTCGTCAGGGCAGACTTCCCGGAGTTTTTCGAGCAACTGTTCCTTTGTGTAGACCTCTGATCCGTCTGTAACATCGAATGGCTCGTGCACGAAATGATTGTACTTAGACATCGTGTAGAAGCTGGATAGGTAGACCAAGCTAGGTTTTTTGTAGTGACGATTGCGAACACTGGGTAGGAAGTGAAGTGTCAAGTGTTGTGTGTAATGGAGGAGAAGGCTAGCGATAGCTCAAATACCTCGGGAGTAGCGAAGGTAAAGGTGAGTCGCAATAAAGACGCGGTTGAGGCGCCCTGACTCGGCAAGCTACCATATTTACCAGAGGATTAGTGAACTGCCTTCACCTCGACAGCCCAACGGTATTTCCAGCAAGAGAGCTGCAATCATTACGTCGCGCAGACGTCGTCGTTTGTCCCAACTACGGCTTCGCAACTTTCCGTATAGCCTCCTTAACAGAGCTACCAACCGCCTCCCAGTGTTCGCCGAGCCAAGTCAGATACAAATCAAGGTCCGTGTGGTGCAGTCCAGGTACCTCATGCAACAGCTTTTGGACGAAGTCACGAATATCGCCACCTTCACTACTACCAAACAATGCTGCGTGCGCCGCCTGATACATCGCAGACTTGGACGTATACATGCCGTCACCGTCTACTCCCGTGGCCTCAACCATTGCGTCGGCGTAGATCTCGCGGTACATTTGTAGCGACAAAGGAGAGTGCGGCGCATCAAGCACTTCGTACCCTGGCATCCAGTCTAACGTCAAGAACTTTGGAAGGGACGTGTAGCCGAGAGAGCGTGGGGCGGTGGAAGCGCGCTCCCAGTCGATGATACCGGTCACCTCGCCTGTTTCGGGATCGCAGAAGACATTCTGGAGGTTGAGGTCGTCGTGACGGAGTACGAAGGTCTCCTCACTATCCCCGGGCTTGACAGATTTCGCGAAAGCGTCGCTTCGAAACAATGCATCCAGGACTCCATGGATGACGCCGGGCCTTCCTTCATGTCCCTCGAACGGCCAGACATCAAGCAGACCATCCGTGTAGAGCTCCAGGCCTGAGTCGTACACTGGCTTCTCAGTAAGAGCCTTTTCAATGGCCATGTCTTCCGATATCAGTTCTGGGTCGATATTCCATTCCCAGAGCGAACCAACGGTAGGCTTTCCGTTTGCGTCAACATTGTCAAAGCACAGCGCGCCGATTTTATCAAACTCAAGATGGCGCAGCTCAGCCATGGCCTGAGCCAGCGAACGAAGCATGCGCGAACGTTTCGCCGCCAGTTCCGCGGAAGGAAAGTCGACTGTGTCCCGATCCCAGTCTTTATGAATGGGGTGAGCGTCGTGCCAGACTTCAGAGGCGGATCTGCCTGTGCAGGCCTTCATCAAGATGTAAGGCGCACCTAGCGTGTTATCCAGCTTGTCGTCATAGGCCACGACTTCAGGGACGGGACACTTGGTGCGCTCGCCAATAAACTCAATAGTACCAAACTCCGAACGAAGCATATACGCATCCTGCTTCTGCCAGCGAGCAGCAGTGCCGATGCAAGGAATCTTGACCACGTATTCGCCGTCGTCAGGGCTGTTGATAACCCGGTATATCCGGACGAAGTTGTAGCCACCCTCATATTCGCCGCAGAAAAGATAGTCGTCTTCGCAGTACTCGGAGGAGGGGTTGAGATGTTGCCAAAGGGTTTTCTGGAAGTTCGAATGGTCAAGCGCACGGAGTGGCTCCCAGTCCGCGCGATCAAGCGCTTCGCCATCAGAGCACGCGCTTGTTAAAGAAGAGGTTACCGAACCGTCCGACTTAGGCGTGGATGATTTATAGTCTTCAACCTCCTCGTCAGAGTTGGCACCGCTGGGCGAGACAGCATTTTCGCGCTGGATGAGGGCGAGGATTGCGGAGTTGTCATTGTCGCAGGCACGCTCAACTACTTTGAGCCAACCTTCTCCACTATCCGTCGTAATTTCGGGCGTAAGCAACCGCTGAGGTAGCTCGGGCAGCGTTTCGATGATGGTGCAGATACCAGAGATAACGTTGAGGCTTGGTAACAAACGCGCGGCTGTTTGTGAAGCAACGGCTTCGTGCGACACATCTGCTCGCTGTGATACTTGGCTTCTACGATGGCGCGCAAATCGATCGCGGAACTTTTCGTAAGCGATGGATAGTACTGTGGGTAGATCACCATTCCGCTTGCTGGAACGATCGCGGGTTTTGAGATCGTTTACGATGCTCGGCGCAGGCGGTGCCTTGCGAAGCTTGGTCTGAGGGCTGTCCTGAGGGCGCTTGGAGCTGAAGCTGGAGGCCAGACCAGGAAACAAAGACGTTAGACCGAAGTGCATGTTGGCACAGATACTTGGGGATGATTATCGGCTGGAGTTGGCGTGATGTTCGGTCGGTTGGCTGAGTGTCAAACTATCCGTAGTAAGGTAGTGTTTCGGGGTAGAGAGAATATATAGGACTCGAAGAAGTGAGCAACATATACACAAGTCTCACGGACCGGAACCAGCGCCACAGTGGAGCCCGAGCTTGTCTAGCCCGTGAATTGCGCGGCGTAGTGAATGATGTACATGTTGACAGATGGAAACGAATCACCACGTAGCAAACGCTACGCAAGTATCCTATCCAAGCGAAAGGTTACTTCGAAATGGCTGCAACAGTGACTCGTCGTCGCATATACGGTCTCTGCTATGGTCTTCCTTTCGATGTCCAGTGAATTCATGCAGGAATGTCGAGGCAGTTACCTATGTTATTTGAGTCTCCACACTTCAAGCGCATACTAGCACAGATCGTGGCGACGCATGGAATCAGCTCAGCTCAATGAAACGCGTCTACCAGAAGGCAGCCATGTTGTACGAGAATGCCTCGGCGCTGCAAGGATTTCAGTCTCTATACACTCTCGCCGTACTCACTACCGCCCAATATACACCTGCATACAGTTCCAACCTTGATTTAACCCAAAGATTAACCAACATGGTAAAGCTCGCAGGAGGATGGATAGACCTCAACGAGAGATACGGAGAAATGTTCAGAGGCGACTTCAACCCCAACATCTGCAACAAGAACACCCTCAAAGTCTTGGGCTTGACACACCATTGCAAGGACTGCAAGGTTGGTACACACTGCGGTATTCTCTGCACCCCCTGTCAACTCTGACTGACCGCCGATCAAGGCGCCCCCACAGAAGAAGTGCTTTTGGCAACTACATTTCGGTCTGTATAGTAACAAGCGCGGCCACAAAAGGAGCTGACGAATCCAAAAGCGTTCTGCGACGAATGCGGCGAGCGCTTCACGGTCTGGTCCAGGGGATGTGGTAAACATCCTTACAGCCACGGCTACAACATTATCTTCAAGGCCGTACGTGATGACTGGCCGGCCTCGGAGATAGAGCGACTACTGGCAACAAGTGGTAGTGTCCAGGACGAGGGCCTCGCAGATCTAATCGACAACGATGGCGCCTCCCCCGATCCAGACCCCGAGGATGGCGATGTTGCTGAGCTCGCTGGAATGGTCGCAGACGCCGATATCAGTACGAACAGCGAAGCCATCGAAAACTTCGACTCTACCCAAACGTCCCCAGTGCCTGAAGCCGACCCCAACGACCAAGTTGAACAAAGTGTCGCGTCGTCTCCCCCTGTCCCCACAGGAAAGACTTCCCGAATGTCGCAATGGCTTCCCACCGGGCTCAAGGGTAAAGACGCCAAGGGCATGAGAAAAGCGCGTGCGGCGACCGGAAGAAAGACACGTCGAGATACAGAAGCTGCTGTGCAGGCCGAGATAGCTGCGGATGAACGCGTGAAAGATGCGCAGAGAGCCAAGAGAGCCGCCGACGTAGCCAAGAAAGCAGAGCAAGAGAAGACGAGGATGGGAAGAACTGGCCATAAGAAGAAGTAGGTTTTGCTTGGCAGCCTCGTTCAAGTTGTGCAATTACAGTTAAATTGGGAGTCTAGGGCATGGGCGATGAGGCTGCTCGACTATTGATATGCGCGTATGGGATATGTAGGATACGACATGAATTGAGATGATGATACGTATGATGCGCATGTATTCAGAACCAGCTGTGATGCTACCAGTACGATCAGCCATCTACATCGCATAAGAACACTACACCGCGACTTACAATGCTCCATATCGCATTGCCACTCAGCTTCCACCACCCATAACCTTGGTCAAGCTCATGGGCAGGAAATTGCCAAGCCCAAGACCACCACCCTCCATGCCACGCAGCACCTTGCGCATCGCAGTGCCACTTTCCCCCTTCGAGCCCGACCCGTACACAAACTCGGCCACCATCCTCAGCTGCATAGGCGCCTTATCATCGCCGTAGTGGCTGATCATCTCAGCCTTTGTGACCTTCTTCCGCACATCGTTCCATTCGCCGCTCTCAGCCCACTTCTCGCACTCTTGCCTGTGTTCGGCATTCCACCACGGAGGTAGCAGACCTCGCCGAGTCTCAGCCAAGTCTAGGAACTTCCTGAATGGCTCAATGCTTGAAGACTTGCCCGTATAGATGCTGTTCGGTGTGGGCTTATTCTCGAGCTTGTTATCGTCTTCGGATCGCATACGGAAGGAGTCGATGAGGAGTCTGTAGACGTCTTTCTCGGGGCGGTCGTGGAGGTACTTTCCGTCGTCGAGTCGTGTGAAGGGGTTCGGTACGTGCTTCTCGAGAGTCTTCATGCGAGGTGCGGCGTAATTGGAGCTGTGTTCGGTTTTGGGTGGGAAACCATCGTAGGCATTGGCATTGGCTTGCGCTTGCTGGGCGCAGATCTTCTTGTGGTTCTTCCAGTCATCTTTCTGGCAGTCGCGGCTGCAGTATGGTGTTGTCTTGCACTTAGCGCACCGCTGAAGTGTGCCTTTCTCGGTATCAGCCTCGGCTTTGTTGCATCGGGCGCAGTTGGACGGCATCTCGCTCTCGCTCGTGCTCGTGGTGCTGGTTTCTTTAGATCCGAACGGATTTGGGACGAATAGCCAGACGAATACTGCAATGAGTACCCAGACAAGCGTTGAAGGCATGACGAAGTGTACGGCACGTTGGCGAGCTGGATTAATATATTGAAAGAGGGGGAATTCGGTCCGTAGGGAAGACGCCCACAATGTGAGAGCAAAATCTCGCGATCAACGTCATCGTCCTAAAACACGCTAAGGAATTAAAGTGGGGTCGAAGATTCCATCCCGCCGCTCCACGTTCCCGCCACGTACTCACGTGCTCTGGCGTACACGTGCTTCTACAGCCACGTGCCTCAGCTCCTTCTGAGCAGCATAAAACTCGCAGTATCTCAATCTTTCTGATCTTTCGTTCTTGAAAATGAGTACTTCGTGATTGATGGGCGGTGTGACACTCTCGAAAAAAGCAAATGGAATATTCGAGGCGTGGCGCATGCGGGACGAGCAGCTCCGAAACACGCATCGCCGGCGCCCACGTGATCATATGTGCCTTCTCATCATCCATTCAGACATTCTTAATCCATGACGAAGGCTCCTCTCATGTCACGATGAGCATCTCAACACATCGCGGTTACGGGATGCCATCCTTGCGTATAGAAGCATGTGCGGGGATAGACGATGGAAGGCGGATGCGGGGAAGCTACACGCGTCTACCTCCCCACTTACGACGTAGTTCACGGTCGATAACGATTACAAGAGCGCGACGACTGGATGTGTGTACTTGTAAGGCACGCCTGATTGTCATAGAGTCCATATATATGGCCATCTTTCTCCGCATATATCTGGCAAGATCGCAGAGTTCCATGCTACCTTTGAAGCGTACACACCACGTCCAGCAACAACATCATGCAAAACCCATCCGTAGTATTGTATGGACCAAAGAACGCAAAGATCGAAGATACCGCAGTGCCAGAGGTGGTTGACCCTCACGATGTGATCGTTCGCATTAATTATGTGGGAGTTTGCGGAAGTGATGTAAGACCACCACTCTTTCCATTCACTTGACCCTTTCCATTCACCAGAACAGTTCTCGTCACATGACTCCATCAACCAACTAACCAAACACCTAGGTCCACTTCTGGCACCACGGCGGCATCGGAAAAATGATAAACCCCACCGCCGGCATCGTAATGGGCCACGAAGCCTCCGGCACCATCCACTCCATCGGCCCATCCGTCAAAAGCGTCAAACCGGGTGATCGCGTAGCTATCGAACCAGGCATACCATGCCGTATCTGCAAAGCGTGTAAATCTGGGGTTTACAACATGTGTCGCGATATCCGTTTCGCCGCGGCACCTGGACCGCCTGATACGCAAGGCACGCTGTCGAAGTACTTTCGCAGCGCGGAGGACTTTGTGTACAAGATTCCTGATAAGATGGGGTTGGATGAGGCGGTGCTTGTTGAGCCGCTCGCTGTCGCTGTGCATGCGGTCAAACTGGGTGATGTGAAGCCTGGCGAAACGGTCGTGGTCATGGGGAGTGGGACGATCGGATTGTTTTGCGCGGCGGTCGCGCGTCAATTCGGTGCGCATCGCATCATCATTGTCGATATACTGGAGAAGAAACTAGAGTTTGCGGAGAGTTACTTGAAGTGCGAGACCTTCCGTTCGTCCCTCGACGCAAGTCCAGAAGACAACGCCGAAGCGCTACTCAAGAAGTTCGACCTCGTGGAGTTCGGCATCGATACAACTGGCGGTCTCGTCGACACAGTCATCGAAGCTTCCGGTGCGACAACGAGTATCGATATGGGCATCAACCTTGTGCGCCCGGGCGGGAAGTATGTCCAGACCGGCCTTGGGAAGCCGAAGATCGAGTTCCCGATTGTGGCCATGGGCCAGAAAGAACTCATGGTGAGGGGCTGCTTCCGATACGGTGCAGGGGATTACGAGCTTGCGGTGGGTTTCTTGGAGAAGGGATTGATCGATGTGAAGCCGTTGATTAGTTCGGTGACCCCGTTTGAGAAGGCGACCGACGCATGGGAACAGACTTCAAGAGGAGAGGGTATCAAGAATTTGATTCGAGGGGTGGAGGGCTGATGGTTAATGTGGCTCAAGAGAACGAAATTTCTTCTCAATCCATCTGCAACACGACTTTAACAACCAAGCGTCTGTCCTTGCTTCGTCGAGCGTGCGTTGTCCATCCTCCAGACACATTTTGCCCACATCTTCAAATTTCTCCATGTGTGGTACACGCACTCAGTATCACGGTCCAAACAACAGCCCACCTTGCTATTGGGGATATCTGGGCGACGCTCGATTTTCTTAACAAGCCTTATCAATGTCGTTCCTTCATGTGCAAAGTTCAATGAATCCGCGTGGCTCCATCGAAACCCCAACGGTGGAGCGACCAAGTCTACCAGGTTTGCGTGTCCATCAATCCAGAATACCGGGCAGGCTTGTCGAGCATTCTTCTTCCAGTGTTTTGGACAGACCTGGTCGAGAATGTCCGTGAGATAGAGGAACATGCTCATCTTAAGTCTCCCATATGTAGTATAGTGGGTATCGTGGTGTACATTGTCGCCTCTAGTGTGCTGAAGCTCGACAGCAACACAGATCTCGTCTACCTCAGTACCGTCATGAGTAGTTCCCTTCAGATTGAGCAACCCGTTCATGTTGATGCGAACATCTGTGGGGTTAGTGGCGCGAGTGAGTGCCACTTGGACTAAGATCGTTGGTAGTGCGGACGTCGAATACAGGCTTTGAGTGGCGATCAGTTCCACCAGATGATTCCGATGCCCGCCTTCGCGGACCCCCACCTCAGCGTCATATCTTCTCACCAAATCCGCGTCGCTGTAGTCACTGACCCTCTCTTTAGCCGTAAGCTCTATGATCACCGGCATGTATTGACTAACAGCTTGAACTAAAGATTCCCGGAGTGTGGCAGAAACATCGAAAACATTCCGATGGAAATTGGGTTTCCGGGCGGAATTTATGGGAAGCCGAAGATGATCTTCCGCGGTGATTGTATAAGCACAGATCATGCCTGGCACATCGTCAGGAAGATCCGTAAGTGAATTGACTGGCCTCGCGGCGGACCATCTGACCACGCCAGACGCTGGGTGGATAGAAAAAGAACGGTGAACACTTCGCGATCCTGTGTAGTACTGGACCTGGCCGTCTTTGCTGACACGGTGCATAGTGACTGACGAGAGAAGCAATTCTGAGTTGGAAAGGCGTCGAAGATCTAACGTTTCATCCTTGGCAAGAGCCGCGAACGCCTTGTTCAGTCGGACAGTGCCTGCTACGATATCCGCAGGACTCGTGCTGTTGGGATGCATGCTTCCGGGACATTTGAATAGGAGTCTAGGGTGGGCGAAGGTAATGCTACAGCGTGGTAGGTCTCCATTCCAGACTATCCTTAGTAACGGCAGTAGGTTTTGGTCCAATTCAACCTGGTCACATCCCCAACCGCAGACAGTCGAGATGTCGATCACTACCTTTGTTATCAACCTCATCTGAGAGCCAAGTGAGGCGAGCCATATTGGCGCATAATTGATCTGGTGGTAGTCACCCCGATTGCTGGCTTGACACCGCCTGATTGCTTCGCGGTCACACCTCTGACCAACTCTGGTAACGAGGAAGGTGTTGTTGGCATACAAGATGCCAACCGTTTCGTGATACATCTGGCGACAAGACTTCAGCAGGCCGATCCCAAGAGATGCTTCATGCCTGAACCCCTGCGCTTCTTTCCATTCAGAGTCTTGCCTCTTCTGCCAATTTTTCAGGCTGCGGGGAACATGCCTGCCCTTCCGAGAGTCATAGCCCATTCTGTCATCTTCTGAGCTGTCATCGGCGAAAGACTCATCGTCTGCACGAATCTCATAAGGCCGTCGGTCGTAGTAGAAGTCGGCGTTATGGATGAGTATTCCAGGTCGTCGTGGCAGCACAAATACGTATTCGTTGATGGTGTTGCGTACCTCCGCCGGCAACGTCAGGAAGGACGGCGCGGAC